GTTACCGACATCTGGTGAAAATTTCATGTCATTAGTGCCTCTAGTAATATATTTACTGAGAAAAATGTTGACGTGTTCAATACTTATTTTACCTGCTGTATTTCTGAATATCTCAAACACGCAAATTCAGTTTACTCACTCGGGACAGTGATTAGCAAATGAGATATTTAATCAATTCAAGACTAAATGTTCCCAGCAGTCTGCACCCTGGCTCTCACCAAACTCATCCTCCATGGCCATTATGATCTCCACCTGGTCCAAACTGTCCAAACCCAGGTCCTTCATGAAGTGTGAGGACGAATCCAGCTGTGGGACACAAACAGAAACTATTAAAACCCAGAAACAAATTCTTTAAATAACTTTGACAGACAAAAACTAGACAACTGTGAGCAGATTTTTGTACATTTTATTTTTCCTTTAAATTGTCACAGGTTCTTTACCTTTTCTGGGTCAATCTTGTCGTAGAGCTTCAGTACATACAGGACGCGGTCTGTGATGATTTCTAAAGTGAGGGGGGGCATACCACTATACTGTCGGCACAAACCGCCCACTGCGGGGATCTACACAGGACCAAGAGAGAAAAGAGAAGGAAGAGGTAAGGTGGGAGAGTTAACTGTGGAAAAACCTAATTTATAAGATATAGCTGACAGTTGTAGGTCCAGGAGTCTTCATGGTCCACTATCCTGTATATTTTAGTGGCTTCTCAGCTCAAACATGCCTTGTTTGAATAAATTGGGGATTAGCAGGTTTCTGTAGAACTTGAAGAGGTGATTCAGTCACTGAATCTGGTGTGTTGGGAGCAGGGAAACGGCCCTCTGGGACCTGGGTTGAACAGCCCTGATGTGGGCTAACAAGAGCTACGACACAAGAAGGGATGAGTGGGACTTCCATCGACACAAGCACAGGTTAAATACGGTAGTTTCATATGAATTAATTTAAACAAGAATGCTTTAAATTTCAACACCTCATTTTCAACTCGATTAGCGACCCACTGAAACACTCAAATGTGATTAGTTTTCGTTTGATACATAAACACCACTGTCATGCTCTCAAAATCAAGTTAGAGATTTATACTGGGATAGGAAAACAGGTATTTGTTAAGTGTTTTTAAATGATATACAAAAACTAGTAACATAGAGATGTTTAGATAAATGTAAAATGTTTTTTTTAATTAATGTGAATGTTTTAGTATGAACTAAATATTCAACTGAACCAGTGTTTTGAATGCTGTTTATTGCAGATATTAGAGGAAAATGAAAAAAAAAAAGTCCAAATGTAATTTTACCGAGTCAGACATGTTGGTTTAGGACTTTAACTATCTGCAGTGTTTAATGTTAGTAGACTATTATGAAGAACCACGTGACGTGTATCATGAGCAATAAGTATTAATGACATTATCCCCACACTTTATCATTTACACATAACAATTACTACTCTTACATTTTTCTGAGTCATTGTTTAATGTTTTATCAGATTTGATTGTGTATAATTACACCTTAAATGAAGTGCTCCAGCAGGCAAGAAAGTCAAGTACAACAACACTGAACTTTGCTAACAAGTTAGCTTCCTCTGCTAACTCACTAGCAAGAGACAATAACGAAAAATACAGCGTGAAGCCATAAAAAATAAGGGTTCAAACCGCTTCATTATTTCAAGGCTGACTTTCGTAATAAAAATAATTTACGCCAGTTAAAACAGACGTCTGCACGGCCGGGTGAACCTGCAGCGGACTCAAAGACATCGGGTAGGTCACAGCTGCGACCACCAGGCCACGTCTGGTTCGTTGGCGGAGGACTTACCTGGATCTGAGCGGGCCACCGCGTCCTCCGGCTGTTTGCGGCCAAGGACAACGGTTGGCGAATCGTGACTGAAGGTAGAACAGCGGCTCTGACGGCAGGGTTGCCGGAGCAAAGCCGCAGAGAGGGACGGGAAAGCGAGCGGACACACTGCATCAGGACACGGGCCGCCATGTTGCAGGAGAACTCAGTGGTGGATCGGCGGCAAGAAGAGCCAGAGTAATCGAGGAGACGGGCTCGACTGTGCGCATGCGCACAACACAAAGCCGTGGTTTATGTTAGATTTATACAGCTTGCTCGTGCTTTAAAATTATTAATGCACTTTTAAAAACATAGTAAAATTTTTGCTTTTTTAATATTATGTTATTTGAAGGGGATGTTACAGATGTCCCGAGGAGCCAAAATTCAGTCCAGGCAGTATCAATCGATCATCATTCACTGAACATGAAATATGGCAGAATCCTAAAAATAAATAATAATTGAAAATGAAGAGTGCGTGCATAAAAATTTGCAAAATTAAAACAATTCAAGCCCCACATACACAATGTTTTTTTTTTATCATTGTTATCATTTTAATCCTCAGGGTTTCTCTTATTTTCTAAAACCAGATGATGTTGACGTCACCTCCGGTCCTGCGCAGAATACAGAAAGTGGCTGCTAGCTTCTTCAGATGTTATTGTCAAATAATTACGGTTAAATTTAATATTTATCGACCTAATAACCATGGAGCTGTCTGAAATACTGTATAACAAAGCGGAATATATCGAGACGGTAATAAATCTAATATTCTTTTGGCTGGAATAATGTTTGTGTTTAACTCGCAGCTGAAGCTGCAACAAGAACAGGGCGTTGGACTGGGCTCATTCATTGAAATAAGCTAAGATGAACAATAAAAATAAAAAAACACCTGTTACATAAATACTAATTATTGTACTCGTTTTATTACAGGCGTCTGGTAACAAAGTGAGCAGGCAGTCGGTGTTGTGTGGGAGCCAGAACATCGTTCTTAATGGCAAAGTAAGACAACAGCTAAATAGTGCATTAAAGTTAATCCACACCTGTYTTGCTGATTCCTGTTTTCTCCCTCAGACTATTGTTATGAACGACTGCATCATCAGAGGAGATCTGGCCAACGTCAGAGTGGGGAGACACTGTGTTGTGAAGAGTCGGAGTGTAATTAGACCACCTTTCAAAAAGTTCAGCAAAGGGTAAAATGCTTTTATTCAATTTTACACTCTTTATATTTAAGCCTGAGTCACTCTGAGAAACTGATCCATGTTTTAGAACTGACTGATGATGATGTATTTATTCTAGAAGAGATCATTAGTTTGCAGATGTGCCTGTGACATGCCTATCCTTCAAATACAAAAAGTCAAAGATATCTTCATATTTAGGAAAGTTGTCATAAAACACGATTCAACCCATTTTGTTACATAACTGGCATATTTTCCTTTGAATTTGACTCATCTAAAGCGAAACAGGAAGTGACATCAAAGGGGAACTTTTTAAGAAAGAAAGCTCCCTGGTCTTTGTTTATTAAAATAATATTTGAACTCTGACTCTACTTCATCCCTCTCTTATAGGGACTACAATAATCTAAAGAAACATCAGAAAATTCCCTGCTGTCTGTGTTAGTCGTTGTAGCAACGCTCTGTTTACATGCAGACATTCCCCTTTGACATCACTTCCTGTTATTTCACATTCAAATATCTCAACAACTGTTCATCTCAGTGCTGTGAAATGTCTTTTGCAATATGTTATCCATGTTTTCTTTCCAAAAGTGCGATCACATTTATCACAAAAATTTGATGTCACAGGCACTTTAACCCTTTAGTTATTATCCCATGTGTCAAATTAAGATACAAGCTTGTCTCCCCACCCCCCACCCCCCTGTTTTCCTTCAGAGTGGCTTTTTTCCCACTGCACATCGGAGACCACGTCTTCATCGAGGAGGACTGTGTGGTGAACGCAGCACAAATTGGTTCCTACGTCCACATTGGCAAGAACTGTGTCATCGTGAGTAAAACAGGATAGGATAAAATACAACACGTTCCATTGTTTCTCACTGGAAGTTTGCTTTGGACTCTGTGCTGAAAGCATTCACAAAGAAGTTTATGAACAGCCAAAAATGTTCTATGAACATCTCCTCCAGCAGCAGGTTTTATAAATGATCTCTGGTCACATGTTTGTCATGCTGAAACTGAGCTGGAAACAATAGAACACATTGTGGAGCATTTACTGAAAGTTTAGGTGAAGTTTTGTCCGAAGCATTTTTTTTTTCCCCAAGAGTCCTAAACGAAAGTGATTGAGGCCAAGTCCAAGGAAGGGAACATAATTTTCTCTAGCAAAATCAGCAAAGTGGGAAAATGTTTCAGATTGCAAACAAGCCCAGCCGTGAAGACCTACATTTTTATTTCTTTGCTCTGTTATTGTCCTGACATGTGTGGTAAGTTAGTTGTTTTGCTTTCAGCAAGACAGCACGTGGTGTTAAAAACAGATAGTCATTCAAAATTGTAAGAGATTTGTTCAAGACTTACACATTTTTTGAGAAAAAAATATTATGAATTAATACAACATACTCTGTTTTTTCAGGGTTGTGTAAAATAAATGTACTGACTCTTACATTTGAGCCAAATCAGTTTTACTTCAATGCTGAGAGCAAATCTTTATAATTTAAATCAGGAGTGTCCAGTCCTGGGGTCGGATTTATAAAACTGGCGTACGCACAATTTGAGCCCAGAAATGTGCGTACGCCACTTTTTACGCCAAGGTTGTGATTTATAAAATCCAAACTTGACGTGAAAATGTGCGGTGCCTCACGCCAGCTCTGACCCATG